ACAGGGCCTATGGGAATGGGATCCAACTTCACCACCCAAGTTTTAGAATGACAGACAGAAAGTCTGATGCACAAGTTTGCTTTAGGATCTGCCCTGAGCATCCTGAGCATAATATTTTTAGTCTCATTGAACATACCCTTTGCACAGAAGGATAACAAGACAGAAATATATACTATCCAAAGGGATTAGCTCAGCATCTTTGTTGCAATAGCCCAAAGAGTCACTGTGCACAATGGCAAGCTTCAACACTCTGAACACCCTCATTTCCTTTGGTGTGGCATATGTCCCTGCCATCCCCAACTTCGTGGGATGGGAGACTTCATTAAGTGTGAGGTGAACTAGAACTTCCTTGCATTTGTCCAAAACACCCCTTCCTTTCCAAAGAATGTCATCTTGTCCTGGCATTTGGTTTCCTGGTGAACATATCTCCACCATGCATGATTTTACTGATTCCAAGCCTTCCCTTTCTATCGTTATTGTAATCTCTCTTCTGGTTGACTGCCAGAGACAACAGTTTAGTTTAGTTATTTTAAAGTTTAATTTTTTTTTCTTCAGCTTTGAATTTTCTGGCTGGAAAGTTATTGGGAGCATAAAACTCTGGGGCACTTTAAGCTTCTAAGTCTCTGCAGTCAAGTTAATTTGTGTAGTGTGGAATTATAGGGGCTGTTCTTTCTCAAAGAAGTCCTGTATGAATTCTTATGAGTCCACTTAAGTCCTGGCTTACAGTTGCAAGAAAATTGGATCCTCCACCTTAAATAAGTTGGCGGTGTATTGAGATTATTTAAGATATAATTGTGTTCTTTCCGTTTAATGAATCTAAACTTACATTGGAATAACAGTAATATATGAGGCACTTAAAGCTGACTGTTAATACCACTTCCTGAAGATTATTTTAAAATAAATAAACGTTCATTTGCTAAGTGGATATTCTGCCTCATCAACGAAGGATGCAGAATGGATAGCAAAAGTCATTAGCATAATACAAATGCTTTCAAAAGGACTTTGGAATGCCTAAACTAAAAAAGTACACTACCAAGGACTTGGAAAGAATTTCAAGCTCCAAGGCCAAAGAATCTACTGCATATTAATCTTCTTTATCAAAAAGTTGATTTGGAGCACTAAAGACAAAAATAAGCCTATTGTGCAATAGCAAAAAGAAAAAAAAAAAGGAAAAAGCTTCGGAGACTGCATGGCATGGTGGAAAGATGCTACGTTGGGGAGCATGGCTTCTGGTGGTCCTAATTTTGTCACCAATTAGCTTTGAAATCTTTGGCTAGCCATTTCAGCCCTGTGAGCATCCATTATCCCAATTACAAAAGGAGGGGTTGAAGTATGTTTTTTCAGGATGTTTATTAGAGAGCATTTTATGACCTAACCAAGGTGGCAAAGTTCAGAGAAATAGTTTGAAAAAAACAAACAAACAAACTCCTTACAAACTTATAACTGGAGTTCTGCCTCCTGGGAGCACTTAATTCTTTTAGGTGAAAGCATGCAGGCAGATTCACCCAGCTGTCCCCCTTGAAGAGGACAGAGTAAATATGCTCTAACTTATATGAAATCCGGAATGTAATTGTTAAAAGACCCTATGCACAATTAGAAAACTGGAGATCTTTTTTTTTTTTTCTGCTTTCACCACCTCATCTATAAACGACACGATTCTGAAAGCTTTACGTAATTTTCTAGTGTTGACATTATGAGTAAATGGAGAGGGGAGGCAGATTTAGACAATAACAGACTGTCTACATTGAAGATGAGAAGTCCCCCAGGTATGAAGGGAATCTATGATTTCATGTCATTTCCCTCAATTTTTCCTGACACATATTTGGAAATTTGTTTTTCTTAGTTCCTACTGTCACTGTTAGAATGCAAGCACATTCCTTTCTGGACACGTTCTGCAGTGTCATCATGCCTCCGGAGCATGGGCTGAGAGACTGAGTCAAGAGTTCTCTTGAGGAGATGTTAAAGAGATCGTGGGCATGAGGACCAGGGAGCTTAGCATCTCCCAGCAAATCCTGGCTGGACAAAGCACACTGGAAGATTTACTCACAGCTAAGCAACTTCTAGGAATTAATGTCAGGGATTATAAAATTTATTCTGCAGACATATTTACAAATTATTTTGATTCGTAACACACCACAGTGCCGCCCGATATATATGCAGTTAACTACGTTTTTAAGACACCAACCTATTACCCATGTATAATGCATAATATGCTTGATGAAAATCTGAACTTAAAATTTCAAGTGCACATCTGTGTTTTTAAGGATAAAGCAGAGTACACATGCCTGGAGATTGATATTCTATTATTTCAAAAATAATTTTCAGCTGTATGATCATACATGAAGAGGAAAAATGCACCTTTGGATAAAATCCATCATAATAGACCATTATGCTATACTAACTTACAAGGACTTCTGAGCTATATGGACTTGAGGGCTTAAAGATACCCACTACAACTGATTACAGAAGCAATACAAAGCTGAAAAACTTATTTTCCTAACATTTTATCAAGGATCGTGTAACTTTATAACTCTATCACTTTTTCTGATTTCTTTTTTTCTACTCAACAAATCAATTTTTCAAATGCAGTAGGAGTGGTAGCCTTTATTTTTGTATCCCAGGCAAGATGCTATTAGGGGTCACTTCCCAGGGACGGAGAAAACAATCTTCATGGATAATAATGATAAAACCTTATGGAATGTAAAAACAACCAAAATATGTATTCTCGGATGACTGCATTAGGGCCAGCCAAGTCAATATTAGTCCCACTTCACCCACGCACCGCATAGTCTAAAAATGCTGTCAGCCTGATAAGAATTTCCTGATTTACTTTTTTCCAATAGAAAATATAGGTCATCAAAATAAACTCCTGACAGTAAAAGAACAGTAGTTACACTATCAAGTCTCTTTATTTCGCTAGCCAGTTATAGTCAATTTCCTACTTAACAACAGAAAAAGTAACCTCCAACAAGCCATTTTAGTAAAAGTAACATGAAAATTTCCAAGCACACCTCTCAGCTAAGTTCTTAAAGTCCACTCAGCCAATTATCTACTTGAATGATACCTACGGAACCCTATAGTATAGTGAAGGTGACATTTACTAATATGTGCAACTCATCAATGTGGACAATTCAGGTGAAAAAGAAACCTCATTCTTCAGTTTGTTGATGATCTCAGCAAAAGAATGATATTTGGGGATTGAGTTGCAGCACTATCACACAAGTTAGAGTACTAGTTATTTCTTACTGAAAACTGAATTTTATGATCAGTAATTTATAATTTTTCTGATACTGAATTTTATTTTCTAGTTCAAGAGTATTATAAGCCTAACCTCCACCACAGATTCATATATTAATGGAATTATTTTCACAATTCTATAGAACAAAACCCTATTCATAACATCTATAGTTCAAGTTATTTTTTAAGGGGAAAAATACTTTCCTGTATGCTTAGTAATTCTGAGTCTGTTGCTTGTCCACATTCCAACTGACAATTGAGAGCCTCCACAGTCTCTGAGATGGAGGAAAGGAAGGGAGGAAATAGGGTGGTTCATCTGGGACTGAGTGTTTATAAAACACATAAAAATGATATCCAGTATCTCTTTGCCTCACTTGCTTAATTTGTACCAATTGGTTTTCTCCATTACTTATATCTTTTATATTTAAAATCACAGAAAAGCAAACAGCATAACCAAAAGGTTTTAAATCTATCACCACTGACCACAAATTACAAAATGCTTTCCCATTCTCTTTCCTAAAAGTAATCTTGTTTTCAAATGCTAAAGCCCCTGAATATTAAATGAATAAATAAATAAATTAATTAATTAAATGATAGCAATAAAATGGGGTTCCTTTCTCCTTTGCCCTACTTGGTCTGATTAAGCTTATATTGTTCTGCAGATAACTCTGGGGCATGTGCTCCAGAATGAGCTGAATTTTACAGTCCCTAAATTCTAAACTGAAGTTACGATTTCTTTCCAAAGAGTAGCCCTACAAATCTAGCAAAGAAACAGGTAAAGGGAATACAGAAATCAAAATTAATTATATAAATTATAATAGAGAGCCAAACCCTTAAGACCACAATAAAATATGGTACAAGTTAGTGCCACATACTCATATATGTGTTCTCTGTAGCACTAACTAAGGCCTGACACACATTCTGCTGGTGTCCAGAGAGGAATGTTCAGGGGTACCTAGTGCCAAATTCCCCACACCCTACTCTCCCTTCTAAAGGAACTATATCATCTCCCTGGTTCCAGAACCCTTTTTATCCACAGCATTCTCCGTCACTCTCAGCTTGATGAAGACCCAACATCCAGTGATTCAAGGTTACCTCTTGAGCGGGGAAACACTTCCACTAGGCTGAACTATAACATCTCTGTGCTTTGATGGAATTAAAAATGAATGAGGAAGTTTGGGATCAATTCCTGCCCTCTAAATCACAGTCATAAGAAGACAGACTCTACAGAGAAGTTCTAATAATATTTGACAGACGTTACACTACACCTCTGTTCCATAAAAGTTCCAGAAAGGTCATTCCATGAGCTCTCTGTCCAGGTAGCCTCCCCTATGTCGGTGACACATTTTATCCTCTTAATCAAGAGAACCCTGAAACACTCCACCTTTCCAAAGAAAACAAAATATTTGATTTAAAAGGAAGTTTACTCACATACTCCTAAGACAGATGCCCTTGGTGAGTGTCAGAGAACTGAGCCCAAAGAGCTAAGGTGGCTATGAGAAGCAGGCTCTGAGCTCCGGTGACAACAGCTCAATGAAGCCCCCAGCCAGGTAATGCCTCACACCGAATCCCCACCCGTCCACCAGGCTGCTTGTCCCTTCCCGAAGCCTCTCCTCCTCTCTGCTCAAGGGCGCTCCCGCAGGTCCCAGAGCATCCTCCGCGCCGCCCGTCCCGGCGGGACGTCGCCCGAGTCCCAGACAGATACTCTCGGTGCCCCTCGCCCCCGCCCCCGCCCCCGGCGGGCTGCCCGGTCGGTGACTCACCTGCTGGCCAGGTTGGGGCGCCGGGTGGTAGTAGGCTGTGGGGCAGGTTGCAGCTGCCACAGGGTTGGGCAGATACTGGGGCGCTCCATACGGCTGGGGGTGATACATCACCTCCGCACAACTCATGGCAGCCGGGGCAGCGGCGGCCCCCGAGCTGCCGCCGCCGCTCTACGCGCTCGGGCGACGGGCGCCGCCGCCACCGCCGCAGCTGCCTCCTCTGTCGCTGCTCCAGCTGCTACTGCGGCGAAGGCGGGTCCTCGGCGGCCGCGGGCTCCGCGCGGGGCGCGGGCTCGGGAGGGGTTGGCAATCAGTGGGGGCCCATGCGCGGGCACCGTCATCTTCAGCCCCTCCGAGTGTCCCCTTGCCTGCGCTTATATAGCGGCTCCGGGACGCAGCGGCCCGCCGCGCGGCGGGGGCATGACAGTGCCCGGCTCCGGCGAGGACAGCAGCGCCCACCGCAGCGCCAGCCGCAGCCGCAGCCCCGGCCGGGTTGGGCAGCCCTGGGGAGCCCGGGCTCTGGTTTGCATATACACAATGCACGCCCGGGGCTCGTCCTATCACCGGAGCTCGCGCCTGGGCGAGGACCGGGAGGCGGGGGCAGAGGGAGGGGGGTGCTGGGGAGGAGGGGGAGCACTTCGCCGCTCCAGGCTCTGACGCCGAGCTCCTGCAAAGTTCCTCCAACTCGGTCCGCGGCGGGCGGGTCGCCCAGCGGGGGACCCCGGGGAGGGCCGGCTGCGGATTGGAGCGAAGTTTGAAGCCCTCTCCGCCTTCCGGCAGTGGGATGATGGTGGGAGGGGAACGGTATGCGAGAGGCTCTGCGCCCTCGGAGCTCCGGCTTTCCACCCCGTCTGTCACCTGGCTGTCAGGGCGGGGGCTGCCCAACCCCAGGGAGCTTTTAGGGGGGGAACACCAACGCCGAGGCCAGGGCTAAACGAAGGCCAAGTGTGCAAAGAGGTAAAACACAACAGGAGCAAAATAAACTGGGATTAGCCTTTACGTTAAATATAACCGTAAGTGAAAGTTAACTTTATTACAAGTGCGCACATGCCAAGAATGCAACACAGTTTTCTACCAGTGATCTCCGCTTTAAGTTTACACCTTCATGATATGAAATTGTTGTGGGACGTCAACCTTTTCTGGCTCTTCTTGCCTGGTTTCCATGGAGTAATAGACAATAACAACTGATTAAACCTATTCAGCTATTAAAGGTTTATCTACTTGCAAGTGGCTTATAATCCTCTCCTCTTTGTAGGAATATAACTGTATTTTGATATAATCAGGTAAAGTAGTAAAGAATTATAATTACTTTATAAATTAGCAAACTCTTTGAACTTTAACAAGTGTATCTCTCCCCTTCTGTTTAGGGATTCTCTTTTATGACACAGAACAGTTTCTTTGTTTTCACAGAGACTATCCTTTGAGGAAAAGTCGATCTGGATGTCACATGAACTGATGTTATGGATTGAATTGTGTTCCCCCCAAATTCATATGTTTGAAGTCTAATCCCCACTGTGACTGTGTTTGGAGACAGGGCCTATCAGGAGGGAATTAAGATTAAGTGAGGTCCTAACAGTGGGATCCTAATATAGGACTGGTGTCCTTATAAAAGAGGAAGTGACACGGGATCCCTGTCTGTGCTGGCACAGAGGGAAGCCTTTGGGACAGCCAGTGAGAAAGTGCAGTCTGCAAGCCAGGAAGAAACTAGAAACTAACCTTGAGGGCAACCTGATATTGGACTTTTATTTATTTATTTTTTTAAGATTTTATTCATTCACTTGACAGAGAGCACAAGCAGGGGGAGGGGGAGAGGCAGGCTTTCCGCTGAGCAAGGAACCCCATGTGGGGCTCAATCCCAGGACCCCAGGATCGTGACCAGAGCCAAAGGCAGATGCTTAACCATCTGAGCAACCCAGGCACCCCATATTGGACTTTTAGCCTCCAAAGATGTCAGAGAGTAAATTTCTATTGTTCAAGGCACTCAGTCCTGTGGTTTTGTTATGGCAGCCCTAGCAGACTCATAGAGATGTACAATATTAATATAATGCTAATCTTGATATGAATGTGTATGTGTGCATATAACTACAACAGACACATTTACATAAATACATATATATTCACACATATACACACTTATACGCTCAAATACATGAACTACAGATATTGACAAGAACTCTTTGCTACTCCTAACAACTCCTATTCACTCATTCATTCTTTCATCCATTGAATATTAAAAGTATATTTATTAAGGGTTTTTTGTAATGAAGAAGTATTCCTATCAATAAGACATATATGAACTTATTTGAAATGTCATCATTGTCTTTTCACACACTGACATCCTCTGGTCATCCCTTCCTGTGTTCCAGATTCACCTATTTGGCTTCTATCTAGATGGTTCCATATAGATGTTCCATAGGGACCTCTATCTAGATGGTTCCATATAGATGTTCCATAGGGACCTCAGCCATGATAGCACTAATATTTTCCCACAGCCCCAACCTGAGTCCACTTGATCCCAACAGGACCCAACATGACCATGGCCACTTGAGAACAGGGACTGTGATTTTTTATCTGTGAATCTCATTCATAAACGTCTGGCTTAATAAGCATTCATTGAATAAAGTATTTTAAAAAGGAGAAAAAATTCTTCAAGGAGCTTACAAACTCATGGAGTGTCCAAGCACATCAGTGAAGGTTAGAACATGGAACATGGTTTTAGATCCTATATCAGGATTTCTACTGTATGTTATTTTTTTTCCCCAAAGATTTTATTTATTTATTTGACAGAGAGAGAGAGAGAGAGACAGAGAGAGAGGGAACACAAGCAGGGGTAGTGAGAAAGGGAGAAGCAGGCTTCCTGAGGAGCAAGGAGCCCGATGCGGGGCTCGATCCCAGGATCCTGGGATCATGACCTGAGCCGAAGGCAGACGCTTAATGACTGAGCCACCCAGGCGCCCCTCTACTGTATGTTAGAATGAGAAGATCTCTTGTGATATGAGAAACTTTTAGATGTGGAGTGGAATGTGCCTAAATTAGGCCACAAAGTTAGTTTGCAAGGGCACCCTTTCCTCTAGAGCAAGCCTCCTGTTTTAAACTCTTAACACTTCCAACTGTACCTTCAAATAACTTAAGTATCTGTAGCTCTTTTTTTTTAATATAATTATGTGTTCAATATATCTCCTCCACTAGACTTGCAGAGAACATTTATATCTTGTATATTTAACATTTAGAAGATGTTCAGTATATATCGGTTGACTTAGAAAATAAAGCCAAAACTAAATCCAAAATGTCCATACCTACAATTTCTGTATCTTCCTTGTTCCCCATATGGCCTTTAGTATGTTGCAAATGTTTATTATATGACAAACATGTAGTACTTGGATACTAATAAGTCACAGACTCAAAAGTCTGGAGGTGGTTGGCAAAATCTTTCTATAATGAAGTATCTTTGTTTTGATACCTTCCTTCATTTCTAAATTGTACTGATGGGGAAAAAATGAGAGACTAATGAAAAATTCTGCCCAGAATTAGAAGCTAGAAGAAGTATGGACTGGACAGAGAGGGAAGATAACTTGTCAAGAGCTGGAGTCTTTGTTTGCTCATTAATAGAACATAAGATAATTCCTGTCAGGAACGTACCTGACTTCCCAGGTAGATGTTCAGGGTTTTAGAGTAGAAAAGAATCAGAAAGATCATCTAGTCTAAAACATCTTTCAGTGATAAGCAAACACGTGCTCTGATTCATGTCTCCTACAGAATTGGAGGCACACTAAAACCAAAATCCCAAGTCTCTCGAATCTTGGTTCCATTCTCTCCCTATCACCCCACGCTAAGGCTATATAAACAAGCTCACGTGTATATTTACGTGTATACATACCGTATCTATCCAAGCCTCTATATACACACACACGCATATGTATATAAGCATGCATATTCATATATATCCATTTAAACATATACGTACGTGAAAGAAAGAAGAGGTTTCAGATTAGATCGTCCTTTGGTCATCTTGGAGTTTCAGAAAGGGGTGGGGAAGAAAAAATGTAGGCCAATTGCATTTAACAGTAGTGAGTCACACAGACCAGAGAATGTGATCTGATCACTGGTGTACTTGTCCTGTCTATTATGTGGAGGTCTCACAATTACTTGGAATAAAATGGTAATGAAATGGAACTTGATTATTTGCACTCTGAGCTAAAGTTCCTGAAATTTTACTCTTTTGTCCTTTCTCTTCCTTCTCTCAAACTGTCCCGCTTCCCTTCTGGTCCAGTTCTGATGTGGAACTAGATCTGACCCATCGGTGTTTAACCCCTACTCTTTTCTGTTCCAGCCACTGCAGTTCCAACAGAATACCAAAATTACCTTAAATGTTCCCAACGCTTCTGAGCCAGGGGTTTATAGTCACTGTATTTTTGGCCCCACTCACCAAATTTCCTAGAATGTTCCCAATTTTACAACTGGAATTTGGTGACATGAAATCCCCAAACCAGCTTTATTTAGAGGGGTAACATGAAGTGGCTTTTCCCAATATCTCTTGGGAAAAGCCAAGTATAAGGCAAAAGCCAAGATAAGGCAAAAAGGAAAGCAGCTTTTATTTTTTTGAGTGATGACAGCCAGACTAGTCTTTAACTTGGGGAACGAGGGCGAGAAAACATACAGAATCTGCAAAACACACACGTGAATTCCTCAACCTGTGGATCTAAACCCTCCTCTCCGTCCACCAAATAGCTGATTCTCGACCCACCCTCTGGCCTAAGCTGAGCCTCCTAATAACGCATCCCCTTCTAGGAATCATGGCTCATAGGAAATAGGCTTGGGTCATCTGCACAAGGATTTCCCAGGTGTTAAGTACAGAAACAAGGTGGTTCTAGGCAGAATAATCCTTCCCCAGCACCCAAAGGTGCTATACTTTAATCCCTAGAATTTATGGACATGCTTATTTCACATAGCAAAAGGGAGCTAAGATTGTTGATGGAATGAAGGCTACCAATGAGTAGATTTTAAGACAGGAAAATTATCCTGGATTATCTGAGTGGGCCCAGTGTAATCACAAGGGTCCTTTTAAGAAGGAGTCAGAAGGCAGAAGAGTCTGTGTCCCGTGGTTCTGAAGTGAGAAAGATTCTATGGGC